CAGCAGCCAAAACCAATTTAGATATCATCTGAAGAATTATATAACCCTAATTTTCCTTTCCTTTTTACAAATTTCATGGAAAATAATCAAAAAGCTCCAAAACTTAAAATTAAATGAAAATTAAACAAAAAATAAGGTGACTAGAGTATGGTTTCACCTTCGAGAGTAGCGATTTCTTGAAAGCGATCGAGGAAGCTCGAGAGAGGAAGCGGACCAAATGTGAAGTCGTTAGAAAGAGGCAGCGGAGCAAATGTGAAGCTCGTGAGAGAGAGGAAGACGGCAGCTATTGGCGAAGAGAGAGAAGAAAAAAAACAAGGGAAAGAATCGTGAGGGAAAGGAAACCGGTGAATTTCCGAAAGGGTTCTTAAAAAAAAAATAGGGATTGGTTACCTCTGTTACAAAGTACCGTGGCTATTCGATGCAGTTATATAGAATTAAGTTATTTTATAATTAGATTCAAATAGAATTGGGGTATTAATTTTACTATTTTATATATTTCATAAAAGTATAATTATTAATTAACATGTAATTTTTTTAATATATATTTTATATATTATGTTAATTTATAAAAAATATAATTACTATTATATATATACTTTTAATATATATATTTTAAATATAAATATGTTTACTTTCTATTTTATACTAACATTACCGAAATTATAACTTATAAAATTATTATTTATATTATATACTTTTGTGTATATAAATTTATAAAATATATACTTAAAAAGAAATTATAAGATTAGAATAATTTTGAAATTAGTTTTTTTTTTAATTTTATGGATAAACTCATATAGTTAATTAAACTTGTAATGTTTAAGTTGTTGCTTGAATATTTGTTTTTAACTATTTAAGTTGATATTTGAGATATCTGTTTTTGATTATTTAAATTTAACTTTTATTATTTATATGCTTTTATAAATGTAATTATTGGTGAATTATATGAAATATTGATAGAAATATTATTGTATGTAGATACGGTACGGATTCGAGTTTGGTAATTGGTATCCATAAAAAGTATTTTAATAATTGTTTTTACATAATCAAGTTTTTAAATAAGTTCGAGTAATTATCGAGTAGTGAGTATGTATTAAGATTCGGGTAAGAGTAATAAATTTAAAAAATATTTAGGCAATTATCGAGTTCCGTTACTCTATTTTTTAATCAGATTCAGGTTCGGGTATCTCAAAATTAAGAGATACCCTACCCGATAACATCTCTAATTGATTATACTATTGCCTTATTAGAAAGTTGATGCTTGAATGGAATAACAAGTGGCCTAATTATAAGTAATGTAATTTTAAAAAAATAATATTATAGCGTTTGATTTATAAGTATTTTGTTGAAGATGTAATATTAATTTTAAAAATTATTTTTTATAAAAATAGCAATTTAATATATTTATATTTTTTATTATTAATTTTTATAAAATATCTTCTCTTAAATATATTTTTAATGTCATATATTTTATTTTTATTTTTATTTTTAATTTTATATATTTTATTTTTATTTTTAATATATATTTTTATATTATATATTTTATTTTAATTTTTTTAATAGATAATATAAATTTGATTGATCGTCATCATCTATCCTCGAATGAAAAAATGGCTACTTAAAGTAACAAAGAGGCATTCCTCGAAATTTATATAAAAAAAGAAACAATTTGTGAAAAATAAGAAATCCCATAAATCTATTTCAAAAGTAGCCTTCAAACATAAAGTTAATTGTTTTTAACAACTTTTGTCATTAACTTGACAAAAATGTCCTTTAAGCCATTTCAAACAAATTAAATACTCTTGATTTCTCTCTCTCACCATTCAAACAAATTAAATGATGTCTGTTTCTTTCACCATCTAGCTCTCTCTAATTTTTCCACTATTGTCATCTCTCTTTGTTTATCTTTCGTCATATCATTATATCGTCGTCAATATATAAATTAAAAATCAGATATGACATTAAAGTATCTTCTTGTATTTATTGGTTTACATTCACTTAACCTCAAAGTTGAGGGATTAAAGCTATAAGTGAAATGAAATCAATAAATTAGAACACTACCTAGAGTTGTTACACTTCATGCTAAAGGCAAAAGTCCCATAAGGACACGTAAAAGTAGTTTTCTCTTGATCTTCAAGAGCTATAGCAATCGGAATTCTTGGGATTCAACTCCATACTTAAATAGGAGAATAATCAAGAAATTAAAAATATAATGCAGTGGAAAATAAGAAACTAGATTTTAATCAAAGAAACAATTGAATCCTACAAGATCAATATTTGTGTTTTTATATAATTTTCAAATTAATTATAAATATTTATAAGTTAAGAGTTATATATCTTGCTCTAGATATTGTAATCAAAAGCCAATTAAATTCAAAATCACTTGTGATGAAGCAAGTAAACCAAAAAGGGAATAAGACTGTTTAAAACCTGCAATCGAAATCTTTGCTTCTTCACCTTTAGGAATTGTTAAATCTTCAGCCACTCAAGTATTTGGCTTCTAACAGTAATTCATATAATGACCGAATAAGACCTTTTTAAAGGTAAGATTTCACTTGTACTAGCAAGTTTTGTTTCTAAAACAAAAAGACAAAAAATTCTTCCGAAATCTTATTTTTGTTAAATACAGAAAATTATTTTCTTTTCTTATTTTTATGAAATGGCTAAGAAGTGGCTAAAGGTTAAGAGTTTTAGTTTGCTAACATAACATCTTTATATAGCCAAACTAAGTTGTAACCTTAGATACAATAGTTGTATTTTAATTCAATTAAGTCCTTCAGAACTTAATTAATTTTTCACTTATTTTGGTATATTCTAGTTAAGGCTGACTTAATTGATTATTCTTATTTAATCTTAATCATGTCACTTAATGTGTGTGACCTATTAGGCTTCTAACATGTTTGTAATAAATATAAAGCCTAATCAAATATCAATTTGTTAATTAATTTATTTTTTAGATTATGAGTGGCATCTAGCAATACATCATAACCACCCAAATATTAAAGAGTCAATTAAAGAATTTGATAAAGCCCTTTAGTGATAAGCCTCTTAGTACAATACTGTCCTTTCATCAAACACCCCGGATATGTCATAAAGCTTGTCTTAGTGTCTACTTATAACATTCCATATTAATTCCATAATTCATAACTAACCTTAGGAATTTAGGAAACTAACTTTTTTCAAATTCATCATGCTTTGGTGAAAGACTTTATACAAGTTAATCAAGAATCGAGAATAAGTGAGATCCATCCCCTCATATCATTTGGGGTGATGAATCCTCTCTTGACCACTCATTCACTTTCGCATACTTTATGACATACCCAAAAATACCATATTTATGTATCTGGTCACCTTCAAACCCGTAGAGGTGAAATCAAAGTATGCCATTCTCCATACAAGATGACCTAGTGTCTCAAGTCTGATGACTAGTTACGCGAGTATCACATGAGAATATACTCCATAGACACTTGAGTGAAATACCAAATCGAGTTCTCATAGCGGTTCATGTTCAGTGAACTTGTTCTTTAACAAGCAGCAATATGTTATCCTTAAGTATCCCTTATATTTCAATCTATGAGATCAATTGTTTACTTTTCAAGTAAGGAGGCTTAACATGTACTAGTCTTTAAGCATTGTTAATGCCATGTTTAGACAATACAATGACCAGAAACAATTTTAGGAACATGGCTTTAATGCATAGTGATCTTATAATTGTAATAAGTTTACAATTCTCTTATAAGGCCTTTATGTTCCATGGTTTTCATCCAATTAGTACTTAATAACGCCTTATTATTGTAGTGACATGAAAGAAAACCTCTATCACGTATATTTATACGATTAAGTGTGCATTAAATGATAATATATATTCCTTGACCAATTTAATTTGCTTAAGGGCATATACCAAGAGGAATAACCATTCAAAAAGCAATAAAATTGAGCTTTTGATAATCCATACATACCTTCCAACCAGTCACAATTCTTGTGGGAATAAGCTCATTGTTTTCATTAGAAACAATAATCATACCTATTTTCTTTGGTTCATGTTGGATTAGACTTAGTCATGTAGTATTCAAAATTAGGTATACTATACCAACATTTAGCCACTTGATAATCTCCTTTTTAACCACTTCTTTCATGATTGGATTCAACCCACGTTGCTCAATGGTTGCCTTGTGGTTGTCTTTAAGAAGGATCTTATGCATGCAAATAGATGGGCTAATTCCTTTAATGTCAGTAATGGTCCACCTTGTGGCCTTCTTAAACTCTTTTAGCACATGAAAGAACTTGTCGTCTTGCACATTAATAAAAGAAAAAGAAATAGTAACTGGCAAAGTATATGAGTTTCCTAGAAAAAAGTACCTTAGATGAAAATGAAATGGCTTAAGCTCAAGTGTGGCTAGTTCTTCAATGAAAGGCTTGGCTAGTGAAGTTGAAGAAGTTGGTAATTCCAATCGAATTAAGGTTTTGGGAGGCATGGTAGAGCATCCAACAATTTTTCATATTCAAGAACTCTATCGTCATCACTTTCACAAGTAGAAATCAATGAGGTCTTAGGTGGATCATTAGAATAATTTTCGATAAACACATCATTGGTAATGCTATTCACCACATTAACTACAAAACACTCATTAGAATCTTTTGAAAATTTTAAAGTTTTAAAAATATTAAAAGTTACATCTTAGTCTTGAACCCGTAAGGCAAGTTCACCTTTTTCAACATCAATTAAAGCTCTACTAGTAGCTAAGATTGGTCTCCCAAGAATGATCAATATTTGATGATATTTCTCTATGTCAAGCACAATAAATCTACTAGAAAATAAACTTACTAACTTTTACCTAAACTTTTTCCACTATACTATACAGATAAGTGATGGATCGATTAGCAAGTTGTAAAGTCATATTAGTAAGCTTAATCGTCACCAAACCAAGTGGTCGATATATTGATAGCGATATCAACTTTATACTTGCACCCAAATCATGTAAAGTTTTAGCAAAATATAAAGTACCAATAGTACCCAATATGGAAAAACTACTTAGGTCTTTAAGCTTTGTTGGAAGCTTATTTTGAATTATGGCATTGCACTCTTTAGTAAGTACAATAGTCTTAAACTTACCTAATTTCCTATTTTTACTCAAGATGTCTTTCAAGAATTTGGTAGCTTATTTTGAATTACGGCACTACACTCTTCAGTAAGCGCAATAGTCTTAAACTCACCTAATTTCCTTTTTTCACTCAAGATGTCTTTCAAGAATTTCACATAATTGAGCATATATTTCCAAGCTTCAATAAAAATAATATTAATATGAATCTTGTTCAATACCCTAATAAATCTTTGAAATTGCTTGTCAAGCTTCTCCTTTTGGAAATGTTGAGGAAAAAGTAAAAGCGGTGGT